CCCCAAAACCCCAAAACCCCAAAACCCCAAAACCCCAAAACCCCAGTACTCGTACTTAAGTTTGAAGTGTTCTTAGACTTTATAGTCAATTAAAGTTTAGCGAAGTATGGTGGTTAGAATTTTGCAGAGAATATCTTCAGGTTTGGTGGAGAGAGTCAAGGGATTTGATATGTAAGGTGGAAGGGATGGTTGAGGGGTCTTTTTTGTGGGTTTGGGGTATACCACCCTCAGCCTATTCACAACTAACGTAACATTCCTTCATAGGTACGGAAAAGGCATAACATTTACGTACAAAGGAGAGGAGTAAGTACCCATAAGTTTAATAATCCCTTTAGTGAATTCAAAACTCTCATCGGAGGGTTAGTTTCCTTATCAGTCAAGATTGTCTTAGCCCTATATACTTTCTTGATGATCAGGATTATGATAGGTAAGATTTCAGGGTTGGAATTAAAATTTGATATGTTTGATGGTTTAGAGAGGAAAGATACCTCAAAAAGTGTCAATACTATAGTTCAAGGTAAGTTTGGCAGCTTTTGAATGAGCCTGACTCTTTAGACCTCCTTAATGATGATGACCCAATAGAACTTAAGTAAAGTGTACGGAAATTAATGTTTTTAGAGGAACTAACTTTTCATTTGCTTTTGCAATTTCATCTGAAGACCCAACATTTGATCCCTATAGCTCTCCTGATTATTTCATAATTTCACTCATAAAATCTGAGGTTAAGCCTGGTAAGCTTTATAATAATCGCTTCAAAATTTTCCTCTCTTTACCAGAAAGTTGAATAGTACACTTTACTTAATTTATAGGCTTTGACGAACCTATCTTAACCGATGTAACTTACTCAAGATGCAACGACAGATTCAATTACAAAAACCAGACTGAAGTAGCTCCTTCCTTTGAAATAGTATAGGTCAAGAGGTTATAGGCATCGACGGCATCATGTGTCCTGATAGCGACGACTTCTCAGTAATAGGAAATAGTATTTCAGATAGTTATTCAACCTTCGAGTTATCAATATCAACTTGTATCACAGGCTGTCCAGCCGATCTTGCTGAAAAAACGAAAGGGCTTCTTGTGAGCATTGCTGTTGCCAACACTTATTTTGATTTTGAAGATTATGAAGATCCTGTAAAGACCTTCATCGACGATAGGTTCACTTATTATATCATCCCAGATTTTAAAAAGACTATTAACGCATACATTCAGTAGGTGTTCTTGGGGATTTTTTAGGAAAAATGAAGCTGAAGTTCAGGATGGATTCTTTACTTACACTCCCGATGGGGAAGAGATAGAGTTTGTGGGTGTTGATACAGTTACTCAAGATATCTCTTCGCTTGGAATAGATGAGCAAATTTTTGGTAGGAAAGCTTTTAATTTTTACAGCTATGAAATTTGCAAAAGATTCTCGTATGAAATCGTACGAGAGATCTGTGTTCAGCTTTATGGAAGCAACAGGTAATAAGAGTGCTGTTTATTTATCAAAAATTATTTTTTGAAATTGCGAGGCTTAACCTATTATACATACTCAGTTTATTTAGGTTATTTTTTAATTTGCTTGCTTTCAAACCTGAGAGAGGCGAAACTAGCAAATATTTTCCATAATGCCAACTTTTTTCTTTGATATATCCACTCGAAATGAGTACTTAGGATGATAAATATAATTTGTTCGAGTTTTAAGAAATTTGACAAATAACTAGCTCCAAAGATAATGAAGCTGTTTAATTCAATGATATCAGAATAACCTGCTTTGTATATCATTCCTCCTTATTTTTAACGTCTTTACTAATTATTCTTAATATTTTTACCTTTATCTGAATTCTATATTGTCATTCATCTGGTATATCTTTGTTTATGTTCATTCTTAGAAGCTAAAAATCTCATCACCCAACATTTTTATCTTTCTAACCTCAATGTTTTTGCTAAGTTAGAACTTTTCAAGAAAAGAAGGTGACTATAATGATTAATAGAAGAGTTTCTAAGCAAATGTTTTAGAACCTCTTAGCTCATTGATAGATCAGATGGTTACTCTGAGAGTTATTTGCTTAGAAGACTAATCCCTTTCTCGTTTAAATGGATGAATTAGTGAAAATTTGCTTTAGCTTAAAAAGTAACCAAAGTCTTTTTATCATGGTTTAAACTCTTTAGAAGTAAAAACTCCGGCTATAGTCTTCTGAATAAAATAATATAGGAAATATGGGTGGACTTTTTGAAATCATGGAGATTGCAGGTGGAATTTTTGTAGGATTATTCTCAGGTCAGATGTTCTTTTACTCAATTCTACCAAAGCTTTATCATACAGAAGATCCTACTGTCAATGAAGGCAAGATCTCTTCATTTAAAAGTTTAGATAATGGCATTTCAGATCTCGCCTTTGCAGAAAACAGTAATTCTCAAGCTTTTGATGGTGATTTTCAATCAAAAGAGGATCAGGTATGAATAAAAATTTATTTTAGGCTAACGAAAATGCCACACAAAGAAAAATAGATGATCTTCATCCTGATGAGAAAAGAAGTTATATGATAACCACCGCGATTAACAAAATGAGGAAAAGGGTAAAATACGACTGGAAGATCTGGGATTATATCTTCAACCTGTTCAGATGTTTCTCCTTTGCGTTTTATTGCTGCTGTAAAGACAAGAGATCTCTGAATCTCAGAAATAGGCTCAAATTGTATGATAATGGGGAAGAGAAGTTCAACAAAGAACTTGATGTTGTATCTTTCATAAGGACTTACAGAGACTTATCAACATTAGTGACTTCGATGGTTGATGAAAATGAGAAGTTTATGATTACCTACCAAAAATCTAACTCTATATCCTTCCAAAGAGATACTTCTGAAAGTTCAAACGATGAAAACTATGAGGCTGTACCAAAACTATTCTCAAGAAGAAGGCAGAAAGAACTTCACAGAGATAAGGTTGACAACTTTATGGTACCAGGATATTAATCCTTTAGAAAATATACTCTCAAGAAAGATGGAGTGGCAGAGATTACAGACTTCTTCATGGAGTCTTCAGCAAATCAACTTTGCCGAGTAAGTTCCATTTTATTTTTAAATTATTAAAAATTTAGGAAAGCAAATTAACGCACTAAAGAACAGAAGAAGCAGTCCAAATATTTATGGAGATAATGATGGAAGGTATTGTGTCATCTAGTAGTTTCTAATTGCTTTTCTTCAATAAGAATTTATATTTCCTGTTCACAGAAGTCTTATTATTTTAGGATTGGCTTAAATCAAATCAATGTCGAGATGATTAAAGATAATCAAAATCCACCATTAAAATCGAATAGATATGAGTAATTTATTGGGTTATCAATAGAGAAAAGAAGCATAGTGATCCATCAATAAGTGAAGAAGAACCTGTATTCTACTCTCTTACTTTATAGTCATCAGAAAGAAATTAAAGTCTCAAAATAAGGTTGAAATTCTTGAAGCTATTGTCACAAAATTTGAGAAATTTCCTCTCATTTTCAATCTCTCCACTTAAGTGAGGGGTTTTGGGGTTTTGGGGTTTTGGGG